AAAAAAAATGTATAAAAAATATCCATGTAATAAAAAAATGTATAAAAAATCAGTTTAATAAAAAAATCAATAAAAAATGTGTTAGGTATATGAAAATGTGTTTCAACAGAAAACTCTATGATCCCGCTAAGTTGAAAAATGGGGATGACTGGTTTGGAGGTAGCACCAATTTTTATTTTTGTATATCCTGATAGCACTAATTGAGCACTAAAAGTTGATACTACACGGAATTTGGACGGAATAACAGATGTTAGAGGATATAGTAGCTACTATAGATACACTTATGTCCTAATATCAAGTATGAACCAAACCATAAACCATAACTGACGTGTGAAAATGTATGGTCTGTATTGTAAAATTTCATGTCTTGAATCCGGCCATATAGTGTTGTTAGATGCTTTTACAGCATACGTAAAGGTGTGTTACAACTTACAATAGCTTTATGTGGATGTGTCAAAAATAACCAAAGTTCTTCAGGAACATGATTAAATAGAATCGCGGAAAAAATCCCACGGAAAAAAAGCCCAAGGAAAAAAAACCCAGAAAAAAAACTTAACCTAATAGGTATTCCTACGAAATATTCCTTCGTATGAAAATACTTAACAACATTTATTTAAATATTTTTGTTTTATATTCAGTAAGAAGATTCAAATATAAAAATAAAAAATATATATAAAATTATACTAATTTAAAATTATGAAAAAAATAAAGTTAAAAAATAAAAAATATTTTAAATATTTTTTATATAATTTAAAACTACCGAAAATACTTTTGATCAAGGATATGCTTGTATATACTTGATAAAACTATATTCAAAGAGTATATTAAGGATTATAATATATCAGCACCCGGTTGAGAAAAAACCGTTTTCCCGGTACTTGGTTTAGGTTATGGATTCCAAATTTTCGGTTACGAATGGTTACTAATCGGTTACTAAAACCTAGTTTGGTTTTGAACTTGCTAAGTAGAATATTTCAATGTGCGGGTGCTGTTGTAACGTTACGCCAGCACCCGGTTGAGAAAAAACGGTTTTCCCGGTACTTGGTTTAGGTTAAGAATTCCAAAATTTCGGTTAAGAATGGTTACTAATCGGTTACTAAAACCTAGTTTGGTTTTGAACTTCATAAGTAGAATATTTCAATGTTCGGGTGCTGTTGTAACGTTACGCCAGCACCCGGTTGGGAAAAACGGTTTTTCCGGTACTTGGTTTAGGTTACGAATTCCAAATTTTCGGTTACGAATGGTTACTAATCGGTTACTAAAACCTAGTATGGTTTTGAACTTCCTAAGTAGAATATTTCAATGTGCGGGTGCTGTTGTAACGTTACGCCAGCACCCGGTTGGGAAAAAACGGTTTTTCCGGTACTTGGTTTAGGTTACGAATTCCAAATTTTCGGTTACGAATGGTTACTAATTAGTTACTAAATAATGGAACCGATTTCGAAGAAAATAGTTTAGGTTGTGGTGCTGTACAGGGAAGCCACTCACACTAATGATCATTTACTACACACTCACACTAATGATCATTTACTACACACTCACACTAATGATCATTTACTACATACACGCACGTACTATACGGATTGCCTATTCTCAACACGTCGACGGGTAGTTATGGCCTTATAATTTACTCGGTTATCAGAGCAATTCTTCTGTTTTTATACGTGGTTATTCAGTGAAATGTTTTCTTTTCAACGTTCAGATTTTATTTTCGTTTATTTTTAGCAAAGTAATAATTATTTTTTCCCGGAAAATCGTCGATGACGGTGACCACGACAATTGTATACATAATTATATAGTATATATATTTATTATTCTTATAAGTTATAATATACGGTTGTAAAATGTAAAGTAACTATGGTATTCGTATTGCCAAATTTATTTTTCTTATATTATAAATATATATTATTATGATATATAAACGAAAATAATTCAAGGAATTTACATCATTATAATATTATTATGTTGTTTACCCAGAGGCGGTTTGACATTTTTCAGTTGGTGCTTCAACAGTATAGTTAATACCACCCACCCACCTACCAAAAAGTCATATCAGGTACAAGAACTTACCTAATTTTTATAACTTTTTTGACAATTATTATTCATTTTAAAACATGCTTAATAATTGTGATGATATGATAAATTAAGTACCCAATTATAAATAACCAAGTGAACGAGTCGACATAACAAATATATAGATATAAAACAAACTTAGTTTTATCTAGAGCGCTCACTAGCGCTGTACAACTATGGTCAATGTTTTGCTAGAATTTTATCTGCAGCACAGAACCCCCACCCCCCCCCCCTAACGGTTATGGCCCAACTAATATACCGGCTGGCTACTAACAATACATGAATACATTCTTATAAGACTAGGTAGTGAATTCAAAATTTTAATTAAAGTTATAAATAATTATAAACCTCGACGCATTTTTATATCAACTTTTACTCAACTTCAAAATGTAGGTACCTACATATTAATTTATTATAACATAATATAGGTAAAATCAATACAAATTTTCTATTAGTTGATGAAATGTATCAATAATTTTTTTTTGTGTCAAGACTATTAGTTACATCTCTTTCGATATTCAATAATAATAATAAATTTGAAAATCGTTCTTGTCTCATTGTTGTTCTCTGACAAGCTTTTAAACGCAGCATTGAAGATAATGAACGTTTGCAGGTTGCGCAACTAACAGCGCTATAGTGAAAGCTACTTATAGCAATTTAAATACATTTGCAGGGCACACATCTTCAGTACCTAACTATACTTGTTTAATATCATCAATATCAACATTTTCTTTAATTTTAAACTGGCAACTTTTGGAAATAAGCTTTTTTTCTTAACACCAAAAAGCATAATTCATAACGAGTTGAAGAAATCATTTTTTTTTTTAAATGTCAACGAATTTGAGGTTTTTTTTAATTTAAAAAAAATATCCTAATTGCTATAACGAATAAAACTTTGTTAAAGAAAAAAGACGATTTTTTTCAAATTAAAAAAAACCTCAAATTCGTCTAATACCCGGTTTTTCAATCACATTTATCTGTCAGATAACTCGAGTTATCTAACAGATAAGAAATAATTGATAAATTTCAGTTTTTCAATGTCGGGATAAGCCTTATCCGATGGATATTGTTGCGGATAAGTTATCCGTTACTTTTATACACAAAAACAAATTAATTGAGTATTGACTCATCAGTTGTTGAATTCTGTATAAGTGACTACATTTCAGCAAATCTCACATTAGAGAGTAGTTCAGTTATAACGATATTATTATAATACAATTCTAGTTTGCAATTCATTGCGATTTTCGTATAACAAAATAATGCCACATTGTCTCATACTTTATAGTTTATGTGACTATCTATTCGTCGTATAGCACTAAAGCTGTTTATAACTTCATAAGTTGATTGTTAATGTATGTGATTGTATCTATTTGTTGGCTTGTTGCTAATAATGAATTAGCCATCAAATAAACCATCCTTATATTACCTCGTATATACCTTCCGCTATACCGGACACTGATTACCAAGACCAAGTTACCCACCTATTAAAATGACACCCACCCCAAACTTTTTGGTGGTTCAGTGAACCACAAAATGCATGATCAAGCCGCCTCTGTGTTTACCTGTATACTATTCATTACTAGAGCTATAATGTATTATTTGTACACGTCTATTAGTCACGTTCAGTACGCTGAAGTGTTCGGTCATCTATTTTCTACGGTTTTGGTGTACACCGAAGTACATTATTATTGTTCTGATTTACCTACGAGTTTATTTACGTATACCACGATAGGTATTGCTCTGGGGGCCGACGTCGACACATAGTCAACTGACGTAATTACGGAACCGATTTCGATTTTCGACGGTTTCTCGGGCAACGCGGGCCAAATACTACGAGGCACTCGACGTGTTAAAAACGGTCGGTATGGAATCCCCTCAGCAATCAAAAAAAAGCGTACCTCCCATGTGTAACCTGTGCAGTTGTGTGTATATTACGCATCAAATGTTGAATTTATAAATTTCATTTTAAAGTACCTAATAAATTGTTGTCTCACCCAATCGGAAATTTACAACGGGCGCGATACTGTACCAGTACTGGCTAATACTGGCACACTACTGACCGCCAGTGTTAGGCCAGTACTGTCATATGTCTGGGATGATAACGCTTTACCAGTACTGGATCGGTATTGTATTCCCAGTACTGATTGGTACTGTACTCCCAGTACTGATTGGCACTGTATTCCCAGTACTGATTGGTACTGTACTCCCAGTACTGATTGGCACTGTATTCCCAGTACTGATCGGTACTGTACTCCCAGTACTGATCGGTACTATACTCCCAGTAATGGTCGGTACTATACTCCCAGTACTGGTCAATACTGTACTTCCAGTACCAATCAGTACTGGTAAAATATTATTATCCTAGACATAACAGTATATTATAACAAGTATATTGCCTAAATCTGCTGGCACGTTACTGTTATTCATAGTAGTGTTAAATGTCAGGGTTAATAAGGCTGTACCAGTAGTGGACTACCCTTACCGATAGATAATATGCATATATTATGACACTGACACATTATGTCCTTGGTAATAACTGTATTCTGTATAATAAATATTTGCACCTTTATTTTGTTACTTTCAAAAGGTTGATCTTGGAAATGATCTCATAAATAACTACATACAGTGAAACTTCTGTTTAACAAAGTCTCGGAGGGAAGTGGAACAAATAAATATGTATTACAGAAGAATTAGTTAAATAGAATAAACGCATAATTAACAATGAAGGTCAAGGTTCTCAAAAATAAATGGTTAAATGGAAGTTTGTTATATGGAAGTTTCACTGTATTTGAGTTTTAAGGTTTTTATTTATTTATTTGGAATAAAATGTAATATCTAAGGTAGGTAATTAATTTAAGTATTAATATAAGTATAAAATAATAGTTTTATTTAAGCCATATTCATTTTTTTGATAAATTTATTTTTTTTCAGTCATTCTTCATTCTAAGTTTCTTCCCTCCTTCGCGGTCCTTGGCCCCCGAAAACCAACGGCTTAAAATGCTCGAAATCTCTTTTCCCTTTACATTTTCATGTTTAGTTGTAAGTGCTTCTGAAATTTAAAAATGGAATAACTAAAAAAAGTATTGAACAACAGTTACAAATATTATAAAGTATACCTAGTAAGTATTTATAAGTGATGGTAGAAGAAAAATTAAGTTTTTTTTGGCCATTAGTTTCCCTTCCAAACGCACTGTACATTAGTTGAACCTCTTTACAGATTATTTTAGGAATAACTGCTGTTAAGTTATCACTTACTTTTGAAGAGGTTTTCATATTGAGAACGATAAAACATTTCTGAAAATTGACAATACAAATTAAAAATGAATTAGTTACAATATTCACAAATTATAAGTATTCACCAATTTTTTTACAAGTTCAATGTCAGACTCTAACTGTCTCTCAAAATCTTTAAAACTTTCCAAGGTCATTTTGGGCAAATCCATAATTATATTGTCATTAAGTATTTTTTCAATATCTGTAGTTTTATTTGGAACTTCAATTAATGCTCGAGTTATTTTTGCTTCTTCCTTGATTCGATATTCGATACTTCTTTTGAGTGATTCTAAATCGGATTTAGTAACTGTTACAGAATTATCTGAAATAAATAGTACAATGCTTAATTTAACTGTCTTCTATATAGATACTGTATGTGTTTAAATTTTTATGTAGTATTTATACCTGAGCGACAACTACATGTTGGGCAATGCTTCTTATTTGGTGCATATGTAGCTACAAGAAGAAATGTTTTTATTATTATAAATTATACAATGACTGTTGTTATTTAATATTATCTAATTAAAAAAAAAACTAAATATTTAGAATTTTTAGATTCAATTAATTAATAAAAACCATAATTAATATGCCTAGTACATAATATTATGTATAACAATAATTTATTGAAACCAAAAATTTAGTAGTTTAGTAACTGAATTTATTATGTGTAAAAGGAAAATTAGTTACATAATTTACTATAATAATATTAATTACCATTACCATCAACCAGTCTTTTTTCAGTTGCAAAATTTAGTTTTTCATGAGACTGGGCTTTTTTTGAAGATTTTTTTCTTGATAAATTTATTTTCCCCGTAGACATTAAAGAAGAAATTGATGCATCAGAATGTATATTATCTTCATCTACAATAATATATTGAAAAACAAATTGATACAACTGCATAACTCAACTAAAAAACTACTATCTACTATCTTTCTTTGGCAATTACATGACTCACCAAATTTATGGTTAGAGTGAACCATTTTCTTTGAAGGTTTTATTCCTGTTAACAATTGCCTTTCAGTTGACATCGAGGATGATTCAGATGATTCATTGTCAGAGTGTAGCTGTCCATCTGTAAAACAATATATATATATATATAATAATAATATAAATAAATAATAATAATTTATTTCTTGCAAACAACAAAATACAAAAGAAATAACAAATTATACAAGCAGCAAACTCCCCTATAAGCGTAATGCTTGTGGTGGAGATTAAAAATATGAGATCAGTATAAACAGTATAGTTAATTAAAAATAGAGAAAATCAAGAAAAATTACATAGTAAATATTTTTTTTTTTTTAAGTAAAGAATAGAATAAAATATAAATACATAGATAGAATTATAGTAACTGAAATTTAGAAAAATCAATTTTACATAATCTACAGATTTGAATAGCAACTGATATACATCATTTGAGACCAATTTGTTTCTTAAAATGTTGCACAGGTATATTAACATTATCTTTATAATTATTTATAATTATTCGTTGCCGCCGAGCGTAGCGGGGGCCGCGATCGATCGTTGTACGGAGAACATAAAAATATGAATCATATTTATATATATTTTATATATTAATAATATTTTTATGTTCTTCGTACAACGATCGATCGCGGCATTTAAAATTCAAAAATTGACAAAATATGGAAAAATCACGAAAATTAGCAAATTATTTTGAGTTAAGAATTCGTAAATATTTTTCTTTTTAAATCTAAGATTTGAAAATGAAACACTAGATTCCTTATAAGATTATCTACCTTTATCAATAAAAAAATCTCTACCGGACAGTCAAATTAAATTTTTATAAGCGTTTGAAATTCAAATTTTTACAACATTGGATTTTCACTCGATTACTCATGTAGCGATTTCCTTATTTTGTTGCAATTCAAAAACGAACAACTGTAGATACATGAAAATTTCACTGAATGTTTAAATTAGCATTTTCTATACACCATACAATTTTGAAAATATTTTGACTCTTTTTGAGCTGTTTATGGACATTTACAGCTTTCAATTTTTTTTAGTTTTTTTTTCTATAAATATCAATAAAGTTTTATTTGTTGGGCCAAAAAGTGTAAAAATTTAATACAAGGCTCCTGATATATTGTTACATGAGCAGTTGAAAAATATTAAAAATACATAGGCACAGTTTTTTTTTATAAGCATTTAAAGATCAAATTTTGACAAAATTTATCAAAATCTCGAAAATTATCAATCATTGTAATTTGTAATTAATAAATTATAAAATGTTCAGTTTTATAGCTAAGGATTACAAATTCAACACAAAGGTTCTCATAAATAGTTCATACTATAACCAAAAAATCTAAAAAATATATGAACACACTTATTTTTTACAGACATTTTAAATTCAAATTTGGACGAAATTACATATTAAAAACCTAGAATAACTATTTTAGTTATTTTGTTGTGATTGAATAATATTATTCGTGGGTACTTATTGAAACTTCTAAAGTGTACTATTATATATCTATGATAGTATCACGGTTTTTGTTGATGTATAACGCGTTATAAGTATCTAATGGATATTGTGATATGATTAATTTGGAATTTATTATAGGTACCTATTATAGGTCAATTTTTTGTTTAATACCATAGATATGTATATAATATGTCTTATACATAGACTGACATACCGTCACCGCTCAGAATCGTTTTTCTTATACAATGATATTATATCATTGAATTTAAATTTAATACCATCCATTATACAGTGACCCACTTGTAACCTACTGTACAGCAGAGCGACACCCACTTGCCCACCTTTTTTTTATCATTTTTTTTTAACCATATTCAATTAATTTGATTCAATAAATAGGTGGGTTTTGGCGGTGTAACCGGCTCTAACCGCTAGTAAACTGTTTACTGGTATCGTTTTCGCGATTACGGTCACTGTAACCAGGTAACTAATTTCGTGAACGAGTTTAGTGAATTTTGTAACCGTCGATTTCGACTTGGTAAGAAGGTTTACTGAGGTTCGGTTACTAAAAAGTTTATGATATCAAATATGTTATCAAATATTTCAGTAGGTAAACAAAATGTTCAAGCAATTGTTTTGGCGTTCCAGTAAACGTTTTCTAACCGTATTCCATAACCATAAACTTATTTACTAAACAGTTTACTCCGCCAAAACACGCCTATTGTTATGTATATATTTTACAATAGACCTAGTGAAAATAGACCTATCTTAGTATTATGTACAAATGTACAATCATCTCACCTATATATGGCTGTATAGTCATAAGTCATAAATTATATTTTATTTTTAAACCGAACTTTTTTCTTTCTATTAATCAAGTGGTAACATTTATTCTTGGAATGTTTAGTAATAATGTTAGCTATTATCGGAATCAAAAATAAATATAATTGATTTTCAATTTTTCTGGGATATCCTATTCTATACCTGTAGGCTCTAATACATACAAAACTATTATTTTAATAACGTGGAAAATAACGCGTTAGTGCGTTACTTCATAGAAATTACTTTTCAAAAGTAATTATGTTACAATTGCGTTACTTTAAGTAAAATGTAATGAAATTACTAAGGGGCGGACTGAGAGTACTTCGGGCCGGGTGGAGAAGATTTGAGCGGCCTACAATTTTTTTTTGTATAATCATAGGCTAACATTTTGGGGGTGCCAAGGGTGTTTAGCTTAGGATCAATATATTCTGGGAATAAACAATATCATAATTCATAATATTGTATTGTATTATATTGTTTTTAATACTTAAAATCGTTTATCGTATAATCTTTTACGTCTATATATCTAGATATTATTACTGCCCAATCGGAAATTTATGACTTACGCCGACACTCACAAAGGGCTTAGTACTGCGCCTGTACTGGCTATCCAACAGTTGTCTGGCCCTTACGGGCACACTACTGGCTGAAATGTTAGCCAGTACTACATAAGTACTGGAAAACCATAGTACCGGCAGCCAGTATTGACACAGTACTGACATACTACGGGCGCCGAATGAACTGTGAGCCAAAGCCAACCAGTGTTTCTGGTAGTTATGCCGACGTTGGCGGAGTACTGGCATATTACGGGCCCCACACGATATGTGAGCAAAGGCCAGTCTATGTTTTTCGTGGTTGTGCCAACATCGGCGGAGTACTGATATATTACGCGCTTATTATTTTAATGGAGAGCAAAGGCCAGCCAGCGTTAATTGTAGTTGTGCCCAAGCGTTGGCGAGATGCTGGCATATTAAAAAAAATAAAAAACTACTGCCTTTAGGAAAAATATATTTCTTACTCGTTGGATATTTATACAAATGCATCATTTTTATATACATACACTTTTGTTTATGTAAATAGATTGGAAATGAAACACAATCCAGTAAATTATTATATTGCAAAAAATTATTAGGTAATATTATATACAACCAAAATAACGACGATGTACACACATAAATACAGAAAAATATTTATGGCCATTTCGAAGGAAACATATTATACGTGGTCTACAGTGTTATGTCAACATTTTTTCGTTTTGCCTACCGACTGGTATTTTGACATTATTTAGTTTACAGTTTTAAATAATCGATAATATATAGTATTGCAATAAGCCAATAAATAATAATTATAACCATTACACATAATTATGTCTGAAGTCGGAATACAATTATTTTATTTTATTTAAGGAATAATAATATTCATAATATATTCATAGTTGAAAAATGAATACTACAATAATAATAATATACCTAATAACATGATTAATAAAATATAAAAATAAACAGTTATTAGTTATTATTTTATTTTGTTCTACTCTATAATAATATAATATCCTACGTCGGGCAACATAATTATGTATTTATGTTTATAATTTGATAAATATTTATTAATAGATGAATTAACATCACGGGCTAAGATATAATATATAAATATATACCCGTTTTCAAAAGAGCTAACCGCTCTCGCGATCGCGAGTCGCGACTGACGGCTGGCGACCAATTTCCCCCAATCTCGCGCTCGATAGTGTTCGAATAACTTGCAGTCACGGATTAATATTAATAATATTAATCCGTGCTTGCAGTTTACATATTATATTATTGGTGGGGATCTTTGCGGCGGCGGACGAGTATTAGTTTTTAGTGGATACTTATGGAAATAGAAATTTGTATGATGTGTATATAATACTATTGGCGATTGAAAGTGATAATAATATGTAAGGGGAGTGGGGACGCTGTGTATCATTTATATGTTATTTTACATGTTCCCCGTTACAGATCCACCCCCCGCCAGCCAGATAATTGATAAGCTTTCAATCGCCAATATAATAGATATTAATCACGGACTATAGACAGCGCTAGCAATGCTAAAAGGAAAATATCCCCCCCGAACTCCGCCTGTTGTACTACATTTCGTGGTAAACCTCCCACACCCTCCAACCTTGTCGTGTCCAGTCCTGTATATCCATGGTACTCCGTGGGTAATACCCATTATGTAACGGCATTATTTTGTTTTGTTTTCGGTATACGCTGGTGGCCATCATCCAAATACCTATTTTATTATATCTGACTGTTCAATTTAACGCTTTTGCTGTTGAAGTGTTTAAGTCGTAGACAAAAAAAGTGTTTAAGTGTTTGGCCATTGATATTAATACGTTATATTACTTTGTTAGTTATAACTTTTAACGATTGCAATCATTTAACAGTTTTAACCGAGGTTTTAACGGACCTAGTTTTAGTGATTTTTGTTGTGAATAATCCAGAATAATTACATACCTACCATAATTCTGCAACGGTGCTGTAAGTAAGTAAGTTAACCTTTTAGAATCTATACTATCTTGTAAGTGTATATTATTATTATTTATAGTTATTAATATTACTTATTACCCAATGTACGTATATGTACGTATATGTACATTGCACGTAGGTATATATTATAGTTTTGGTATTTTCTATAGTTCCTGATTTTTCTACTGTATAATTGAATTAAAGTTTAATTAGTAAATTTAAAATTGTAAAATATTAAGTTGAAATGAAAAATGTTTTAGTACCTACTAGGTACCTATAAATATAAATGTGTAGCTAGGTTGGTACTTGGGTAGTTACTAACCTAAAACTATATCATTAACTATTATTAAAGTCTAGGTAGGTAATTTAACATATTAATACATACTATTATACCTAATACGACTAGGTATGTTTTATATTACAAAATAGATAAAATGATAGGTAGGTACCTATGTACTATTATTTAATAAATAACAATATTCACCAAGACAATTTATTTTATATTTGATAAATGTATACTTATGTAGTTATGTGTCATTAATGTTAGTAATAACTCATAATACTCAGTAATAATTTTTGTAATTTGTGACTATTAATGAAATTATAACTTAAATTCTAGTTATAGTTATGTTAAACCTTCTATCCCAAAAATTGTAGGTACCAAAATAATATGGATGGTACCTGGGTAAAAGTGAATAAGTACTAAAACACTATTTTGAGAAAACTAAAAAACCTGTCTGCCATATTCAAAAATTAATATAATTTGTCAACTTTTTTTTTATTTTTCAGTAGGTAGTTTCTTAAAATATAGATTTGCATTTTGCACATAACATAAAATATTTTATCAACTTTAGACTTATAACTCAAATTAATGACTCATTCTTTTTTACACAGCTCATTACTTTTTTTTTTTATTATTTAACTTTAGTTAAAATTTACTTGTTTCCATTATTAATTTATTCATTTGGACGACATTATTTTTTCATATACATACTATAACTCAATATATTATAATAATTTTTTAGTATTATTTTATATTTGTATCTGTTTCATTTTAAAACCAGAACTAAATTTATAAATACTTTTAATTTTAATTTGTTCACTAGGTACATTTTCCCTATTAGGTATTTGAATTTTAAAAATGAGTGCTGCATATTACCGTTTAAAAAAATATCGCCAAAAACGATCTGCTGAAGTTTCAACTTATAGAAATTCACTAAGCCCTCCTAATCCTACAAATAATAGTGATGACAATAATTCTTCGTATCACTTAGTAGATTCATCCTTTGAGTATTTAAGCTTATCAGATTGCAGTTCACTTAATTATCAGTCACCTCGATCTTCCCCATCACAGCATTCATCAAGTACCGACAGTTGTATTCAAGGAAATAATAATTACAATATTACTACTACTGTGCCTAGTTTACGTGAAAAAATACGAAATTTTGCTGTACGATTTAGAAGTAATATGACGGTTGAAATGATTGAAAATTTACTTGAAATATTACGATCAGAAAATCATACTGATCTACCAAAATCAGCAGTTGGCTTACTACAAACTAAGTCTAACAATAACATTACAATCATGAAAAGTTCAAAAAATACTGATGGCTCTTATGTGTATTTCGGCATAGAAGAAGGATTAAAAAGGATAATTACTGATGAATATGCTGAAAATAGCATACGTTTGTTGTTCAACATAGATGGCCTGCCATTATATAATAATTCAAGCCAGCAATTTTGGCCAATATTAGGACTTATTGTACATAACGGATATGAATCAAACCCATTTATTGTGGCGGTGTACAGTGGTGATTCTAAACCTCAAAATTCAAATACTTTTTTGGAAGATTTTGTTCAAGAAACAATATTTTTAGTTCAAAATGGCTTAAATATTGGACAAAGAAATTTTAAATTAGAAATTGCTGGGTTTTCTTGCGATACGCCAGCCAGATCATTCATTAAGAAATGTAAAGGGCATGGAGGGTTCTTTGCATGTGAGCGCTGCGTAACCAGAGGAAAGACTCTAAATAAAAAAAGAGTTTATCCCAGTATTAATTCCAAATTACGCACCAAGAGGAGTTTTATTAGGCAACGTCAACCTGAGCATCATTTGGATGGAAGAACATTGTTGATTGATATACCAAACTTTGACCCTGTGAACTCAGTTTTTTTAGATTCCATGCATTTATTGTACCTTGGTATTATGAAATGGATCTTACAGCAATTAATTGGTACTAAGATGAGAGTTAATCGTAAATGCAAACTTCCTCGTTGTAAAATACAAGAATTAAATTTAAATTTAAAAGTATTTGTAAACCATATACCTAAAGAATTCCAGAGAAAAAAATTAGACTTGGACACATTTAATTACTGGAAAGCAACACAATTTCGTTTTTTTTTAAACTACTGTGGACCTCTAGTCCTACGAAAAATTCTACCTAAAAAAATGTACCATCACTTTTTACTTTTAGTTGTTGCGTGTAGAATATTAAATGATTCTGAATTGTGTATCAAATATGTGAGTTATGCAAAAGAATTGTTGAAGAAATTTGTGGAGCTTCTCCCTTCATTTTATGGTCCAGATTCACAAATTATGAACAGCCATAATTTGATACATTTGGCCGATGATGTGGAACATGAAAATACAAATTTATCAAATTTATCAGCATTTCCATTTGAAAATTTTCTCGGAAAAATTAAAAGGCTAATTCGTGGAAGAACTAAGCCTCTGGCACAGTTGGTTAGAAGAATGTCTGAAGAGAAAACATGTCCAGAGATGACTAAAAAGAATGCTATACACAAGAAAAAAAGTCTCATTGTTAACCCTGACATTAAAAGTAAAGTTAATTTAAAAAGCATTATTTTTCAAGGAGTTGAGTTAAGTACAAAAAAACCTAACAATATTGTGAAATTGAATTCTGGTGAAGTTTTTAGCATTACTAGAATTAAGAATAAACGATGTAGTATTTTCTTTCACGGATATTTGTACAAGAGTGTTACTGATGTTTTTAAATACCCTTGCAAATCAACAGAAATTGGAATAATGAAATTGGGTCAATTATGTAGAAGAAAAAGTATTATTTCAATAAATAATGTTTTAAAAAAATGTGTTCTTTTCGAGAAAGGCAGTCAGAGTTATGCAGTTACATTACTACATGATTCCTAAAACTGTTATGATGTCTACTATACATATCACTTATTATTATGTTTATCATTATTATTATTAGTTATTATATTTTAAATTAGAAAAAAAATTTCAATCAAATTAGCCATGCAAATTCTACCATATACATGATTATTTATTTTATATAATTAAGCACCTATACTTTTACAAAATATTGATATAGTTTTGTCAAATTTTAAAATTATAACATAAACAAATGCAGTATTTATTTCATTACAAATTAATTATTAAGTTATAATTTTATTTTTCATATTACATTTGTTATTTTATTTAAATATTCCATGGTTGGTAACAGGTATGGATTACAAGAAGAATACATCATATGTTGTGATACAATTTGATGAAAAAACAATTGATGGTAAACATTGTATTGATCTTGTACCTATATCATGGACATATATGAAGGATAGCAAATTGTATTGCAAATATCCTAGTAAAAAAGAATATGCCCTAATCGATAAAATGAGCAAAAGTTTGTCTGATCCCAAAAAATCTTGGAAAGGCTTTGGAATAAGTATTATGACAGAAGCTAGTAAGTACATATCAACTTAAATTTTTGGTAATCTTATTAATTTGTATTCACATATTTAATATATATCTGTATTATTTACTTTCTATACTTAAAATATATATGCATCAGGTATTGTATTTTTAAGTTTTGCATCTAATCTCATTTTAAATTTCAGGAAGTTATGAGCAAGGTGTCAGGCGTATGACTCTAGCATTTTCAAATTCAGTTATACATAGTAGTGCAGTTGAAGAGCCTAACAGTTCTGAAGATGAGTGTAATCCTAAAGAGCTATCTGGAAATGAGCTTCAAAAACATTTGAAAGACATTTCATCTTTTATTAAATTGAATCCCACAATTACAGAACATAAAACAAACTATGGTAATTTTTATAATTAAACTTTATTCATATACTAAATTACACTAAATATAATAATCAAATATTATCTATTTATATTATTACAGATAAAGATCAATCACAGTGCGATGCATCATCATCTGAAATATCCTCAGCATCAGAAAACAAAAAAATTTTAACAAAAAAAAAGTCTTTGAAAAAAAGCATCAGGTCTGATCATCATTTAGGTAAGTTTCTATATTTATTAAGGACAAAGAGGCGAAATGGTTTCTTTAGTTGAGTTGGCACAGTTTTGTTAAGTTTATATATATTTCTAGATGCAGCAACTTATTAATGCTTCAATGAATAAAATTATCTTGGGCCTACTTAATCTGCAGATAAATGCTAAAGTTATTATTTATGCTGATGACACCGTAATATTATTATCAAATAAAAATGTAGATTCTCTATATGAAACCGCTATTAATGCAATAAAAGAAATGAAGGAGTGGTTTGATAACAATTTACTAGAGTTAAATATAAATAATTCAAAATTTATTTATTTTAATTATGAGCAGATATTTATTAACTCAGATCATAAACTGAGTCTTCACTCAAGATACTGCAATGGTATTTGTAAGAATTATATAATTTTAGAACAAGTGCGCACCGTTAAATATTTAGGTTTAACAATTGATTATAAATTAAAATGGAATGATCATATTTCTAATTTAATTAACTGTTCAACATTTTTTTTATGTTTTTAATGATATTAGATTTATGGTTAACACAGACACTAAACTTATACTATTCTTGTCTCTCGTTCAATCACTCATCACATATTATGAATTTTGCATTTGGGGTTAAGCATATGACTCTCGTAGTTATCGTCTAAAAATTACTTTAAATAGACTAATTCAATTTTTATTGCTTAAGCCTGTGTTTTATAGGAACAATTTAGCGTATTTAGAACTTAATTTAATGTCTATTGATAATCTTTACCTAAGTAACACCCTAATTAGTTTATTCAGATTTAAACAAAACATTACCCAGTTTGATCACTCAAAATATACACATTATAAAGATAATGTTAATATACCTGTGCAACATTTTAAGAAACAAATTGGTCTCAAATGATGTATATCAGTTGCTATTCAAATCTGTAGATTATGTAAAATTGATTTTTCTAAATTTCAGTTACTATAATTCTATCTATGTATTTATATTTTATTCTATTCTTTACTTAAAAAAAAAAAAATATTTACTATGTAATTTTTCTTGATTTTCTCTATTTTTAATTAACTATACTGTTTATACTGATCTCATATTTTTAATCTCCACCACAAGCATTACGCTTATAGGGGAGTTTGCTGCTTGTATAATTTGTTATTTCTTTTGTATTTTGTTGTTTGCAAGAAATAAATTATTATTATTTATTTATATTATTATTATATATATATATATATTGTTTTACAGATGGACAGCTACACTCTGACAATGAATCATCTGAATCATCCTCGATGTCAACTGAAAGGCAATTGTTAACAGGAATAAAACCTTCAAAGAAAATGGTTCACTCTAACCATAAATTTGGTGAGTCATGTAATTGCCAAAGAAAGATAGTAGATAGTAGTTTTTTAGTTGAGTTATGCAGTTGTATCAATTTGTTTTTCAATATATTATTGTAGATGAAGATAATATACATTCTGATGCATCAATTTCTTCTTTAATGTCTACGGGGAAAATAAATTTATCAAGAAAAAAATCTTCAAAAAAAGCCCAGTCTCATGAAAAACTAAATTTTGCAACTGAAAAAAGACTGGTTGATGGTAATGGTAATTAATATTATTATAGTAAATTATGTAACTAATTTTCCTTTTACACATAATAAATTCAGTTACTAAACTACTAAATTTTTGGTTTCAATAAATTATTGTTATACATAATATTATGTACTAGGCATATTAATTATGGTTTTTATTAATTAATTGAATCTAAAAATTCTAAATATTTAGTTTTTTTTTTAATTAGATAATATTAAATAACAACAGTCATTGTATAATTTATAATAATAAAAACATTTCTTCTTGTAGCTACATATGCACCAAATAAGAAGCATTGCCCAACATGTAGTTGTCGCTCAGGTATAAATACTACATAAAAATTTAAACACATACAGTATCTATATAGAAGACAGTTAAATTAAGCATTGTACTATTTATTTCAGATAATTCTGTAACAGTTACTAAATCCGATTTAGAATCACTCAAAAGAAGTATCGAATATCGAATCAAGGAAGAAGCAAAAATAACTCGAGCATTAATTGAAGTTCCAAATAAAACTACAGATATTGAAAAAATACTTAATGACAATATAATTATGGATTTGCCCAAAATGACCTTGGAAAGTTTTAAAGATTTTGAGAGACAGTTAGAGTCTGACATTGAACTTGTAAAAAAATTGGTGAATACTTATAATTTGTGAATATTGTAACTAATTCATTTTTAATTTGTATTGTCAATTTTCAGAAATGTTTTATCGTTCTCAATATGAAAACCTCTTCAAAAGTAAGTGATAACTTAACAGCAGTTATTCCTAAAATAATCTGTAAAGAGGTTCAACTAATGTACAGTGCGTTTGGAAGGGAAACTAATGGCCAAAAAAAACTTAATTTTTCTTCTACCATCACTTATAAATACTTACTAGGTATACTTTATAATATTTGTAACTGTTGTTCAATACTTTTTTTAGTTATTCCATTTTTAAATTTCAGAAGCACTTACAACTAAACATGAAAATGTAAAGGGAAAAGAGATTTCGAGCATTTTAAGCCGTTGGTTTTCGGGGGCCAAGGACCGCGAAGGAGGGAAGAAACTTAGAATGAAGAATGACTGAAAAAAAATAAATTTATCAAAAAAATGAATATGGCTTAAATAAAACTATTATTTTATACTTATATTAATACTTAAATTAATTACCTACCTTAGATATTACATTTTATTCCAAATAAATAAATAAAAACCTTAAAACTCAAATACAGTGAAACTTCCATATAACAAACTTCCATTTAACCATTTATTTTTGAGAACCTTGACCTTCATTGTTAATTATGCGTTTATTCTATTTAACTAATTCTTCTGTAATACATATTTATTTGTTCCACTTCCCTCCGAGACTTTGTTAAACAGAAGTTTCACTGTATGTAGTTATTTATGAGATCATTTCCAAGATCAACCTTTTGAAAGTAACAAAATAAAGGTGCAAATATTTATTATACAGAATACAGTTATTACCAAGGACATAATGTGTCAGTGTCATAATATATGCATATTATCTATCGGTAAGGGTAGTCCACTACTGGTACAGCCTTATTAACCCTGACATTTAACACTACTATGAATAACAGTAACGTGCCAGCAGATTTAGGCAATATACTTGTTATAATATACTGTTATGTCTAGGATAATAATATTTTACCAGTACTGATTGGTACTGGAAGTACAGTATTGACCAGTACTGGGAGTATAGTACCGACCATTACTGGGAGTATAGTACCGATCAGTACTGGGAGTACAGTACCGATCAGTACTGGGAATACAGTGCCAATCAGTACTGGGAGTACAGTACCAATCAGTACTGGGAATACAGTGCCAATCAGTACTGGGAGTACAGTACCAATCAGTACTGGGAATACAATACCGATCCAGTACTGGTAAAGCGTTATCATCCCAGACATATGACAGTACTGGCCTAACACTGGCGGTCAGTAGTGTGCCAGTATTAGCCAGTACTGGTACAGTATCGCGCCCGTTGTAAATTTCCGATTGGGTGAGACAACAATTTATTAGGTACTTTAAAATGAAATTTATAAATTCAACATTTGATGCGTAATATACACACAACTGCACAGGTTACACATGGGAGGTACGCTTTTTTTTGATTGCTGAGGGGATTCCATACCGACCGTTTTTAACACGTCGAGTGCCTCGTAGTATTTGGCCCGCGTTGCCCGAGAAACCGTCGAAAATCGAAATCGGTTCCGTAATTACGTCAGTTGACTATGTGTCGACGTCGGCCCCCAGAGCAATACCTATCGTGGTATACGTAAATAAACTCGTAGGTAAATCAGAACAATAATAATGTACTTCGGTGTACACCAAAACCGTAGAAAATAGATGACCGAACACTTCAGCGTACTGAACGTGACTAATAGACGTGTACAAATAATACATTATAGCTCTAGTAATGAATAGTATACAGGTAAACACAGAGGCGGCTTGATCATGCATTTTGTGGTTCACTGAACCACCAAAAAGTTTGGGGTGGGTGTCATTTTAATAGGTGGGTAACTTGGTCTTGGTAATCAGTGTCCGGTATAGCGGAAGGTATATACGAGGTAATATAAGGATGGTTTATTTGATGGCTAATTCATTATTAGCAACAAGCCAACAAATAGATACAATCACATACATTAACAATCAACTTATGAAGTTATAAACAGCTTTAGTGCTATACGACGAATAGATAGTCACATAAACTATAAAGTATGAGACAATGTGGCATTATTTTGTTATACGAAAATCGCAATGAATTGCAAACTAGAATTGTATTATAATAATATCGTTATAACTGAACTACTCTCTAATGTGAGATTTGCTGAAATGTAGTCACTTATACAGAATTCAACAACTGATGAGTCAATACTCAATTAATTTGTTTTTGTGTATAAAAGTAACGGATAACTTATCCGCAACAATATCCATCGGATAAGGCTTATCCCGACATTGAAAAACTGAAATTTATCAATTATTTCTTATCTGTTAGATAACTCGAGTTATCTGACAGATAAATGTGATTGAAAAACCGGGTATTAGACGAATTTGAGGTTTTTTTTAATTTGAAAAAAATCGTCTTTTTTCTTTAACAAAGTTTTATTCGTTATAGCAATTAGGATATTTTTTTTAAATTAAAAAAAACCTCAAATTCGTTGACATTTAAAAAAAAAATGATTTCTTCAACTCGTTATGAATTATGCTTTTTGGTGTTAAGAAAAAAAGCTTATTTCCAAAAGTTGCCAGTTTAAAATTAAAGAAAATGTTGATATTGATGATATTAAACAAGTATAGTTAGGTACTGAAGATGTGTGCCCTGCAAATGTATTTAAATTGCTATAAGTAGCTTTCACTATAGCGCTGTTAGTTGCGCAACCTGCAAACGTTCATTATCTTCAATGCTGCGTTTAAAAGCTTGTCAGAGAACAACAATGAGACAAGAACGATTTTCAAATTTATTATTATTATTGAATATCGAAAGAGATGTAACTAATAGTCTTGACACAAAAAAAAATTATTGATACATTTCATCAACTAATAGAAAATTTGTATTGATTTTACCTATATTATGTTATAATAAATTAATATGTAGGTACCTACATTTTGAAGTTGAGTAAAAGTTGATATAAAAATGCGTCGAGGTTTATAATTATTTATAACTTTAATTAAAATTTTGAATTCACTACCTAGTCTTATAAGAATGTATTCATGTATTGTTAGTAGCCAGCCGGTATATTAGTTGGGCCATAACCGTTAGGGGGGGGGGGGGGGGGGTTCTGTGCTGCAGATAAAATTCTAGCAAAACATTGACCATAGTTGTACAGCGCTAGTGAGCGCTCTAGATAAAACTAAGTTTGTTTTATATCTATATATTTGTTATGTCGACTCGTTCACTTGGTTATTTATAATTGGGTACTTAATTTATCATATCATCACAATTATTAAGCATGTTTTAAAATGAATAATAATTGTCAAAAAAGTTATAAAAATTAGGTAAGTTCTTGTACCTGATATGACTTTTTGGTAGGTGGGTGGGTGGTATTAACTATACTGTTGAAGCACCAACTGAAAAATGTCAAACCGCCTCTGGGTAAACAACATAATAATATTATAATGATGTAAATTCCTTGAATTATTTTCGTTTATATATCATAATAATATATATTTATAATATAAGAAAAATAAATTTGGCAATACGAATACCATAGTTACTTTACATTTTACAACCGTATATTATAACTTATAAGAATAATAAATATATATACTATATAATTATGTATACAATTGTCGTGGTCACCGTCATCGACGATTTTCCGGGAAAAAATAATTATTACTTTGCTAAAAATAAACGAAAATAAAATCTGAACGTTGAAAAGAAAACATTTCACTGAATAACCACGTATAAAAACAGAAGAATTGCTCTGATAACCGAGTAAATTATAAGGCCATAACTACCCGTCGACGTGTTGAGAATAGGCAATCCGTATAGTACGTGCGTGTATGTAGTAAATGATCATTAGTGTGAGTGTGTAGTAAATGATCATTAGTGTGAGTGTGTAGTAAATGATCATTAGTGTGAGTGGCTTCCCTGTACAGCACCACAACCTAAACTATTTTCTTCGAAATCGGTTCCATTATTTAGTAACTAATTAGTAACCATTCGTAACCGAAAATTTGGAATTCGTAACCTAAACCAAGTACCGGAAAAACCGTTTTTTCCCAACCGGGTGCTGGCGTAACGTTACAACAGCACCCGCACATTGAAATATTCTACTTAGGAAGTTCAAAACCATACTAGGTTTTAGTAACCGATTAGTAACCATTCGTAACCGAAAATTTGGAATTCGTAACCTAAACCAAGTACCGGAAAAACCGTTTTTCCCAACCGGGTGCTGGCGTAACGTTACAACAGCACCCGAACATTGAAATATTCTACTTATGAAGTTCAAAACCAAACTAGGTTTTAGTAACCGATTAGTAACCATTCTTAACCGAAATTTTGGAATTCTTAACCTAAACCAAGTACCGGGAAAACCGTTTTTTCTCAACCGGGTGCTGGCGTAACGTTACAACAGCACCCGCACATTGAAATATTCTACTTAGCAAGTTCAAAACCAAACTAGGTTTTAGTAACCGATTAGTAACCATTCGTAACCGAAAATTTGGAATCCATAACCTAAACCAAGTACCGGGAAAACGGTTTTTTCTCAACCGGGTGCTGATATATTATAATCCTTAATATACTCTTTGAATATAGTTTTATCAAGTATATACAAGCATATCCTTGATCAAAAGTATTTTCGGTAGTTTTAAATTATATAAAAAATATTTAAAATATTTTTTATTTTTTAACTTTATTTTTTTCATAATTTTAAATTAGTATAATTTTATATATATTTTTTATTTTTATATTTGAATCTTCTTACTGAATATAAAACAAAAATATTTAAATAAATGTTGTTAAGTATTTTCATACGAAGGAATATTTCGTAGGAATACCTATTAGGTTAAGTTTTTTTTCTGGGTTTTTTTTCCTTGGGCTTTTTTTCCGTGGGATTTTTTCCGCGATTCTATTTAATCATGTTCCTGAAGAACTTTGGTTATTTTTGACACATCCACATAAAGCTATTGTAAGTTGTAACACACCTTTACGTATGCTGTAAAAGCATCTAACAACACTATATGGCCGGATTCAAGACATGAAATTTTACAATACAGACCATACATTTTCACACGTCAGTTATGGTTTATGGTTTGGTTCATACTTGATATTAGGACATAAGTGTATCTATAGTAGCTACTATATCCTCTAACATCTGTTATTCCGTCCAAATTCCGTGTAGTATCAACTTTTAGTGCTCAATTAGTGCTATCAGGATATACAAAAATAAAAATTGGTGCTACCTCCAAACCAGTCATCCCCATTTTTCAACTTAGCGGGATCATAGAGTTTTCTGTTGAAACACATTTTCATATACCTAACACATTTTTTATTGATTTTTTTATTAAACTGATTTTTTATACATTTTTTTATTACATGGATATTTTTTATACATTTTTTTTAAATTAAAAATTAAACATAAATTCAATAAACTTATTTTTTATATAAAATGAATTTAATATCATACTGATTTTTTTTATCAATTTTCAAGATGGTTTTTATCAATTTTTAGCATATTTTTTATTGATTTTTTAACAAACAGAATTTTTATTAAGAGTTAAATTTTTATAAAATATGAATTTTTTATCGAACATTTTTTGTTTAATATAAATTCAATTTATGTTTTTATCAATTTTTTTTTACAATTTTTTTTATCGATAAGATCAAACTGAATTTTTATTAACATTTATATTCAATTTGAATTTTTTATCGGATAGATTTTTTTTTTATTTTTTTTAACATATTTTGTATAAAACTGATTTCTTATCCATTTTTTTATAACATAGAGTTTATTTATAGATTTTTATCAAATATAATTTTTACTAAAATTTATATTTAATTTATATTTTTTATAAAATATACATTTTTATCATACATTTTACATTTTTTAATTAATATAAATTTAATTTATGTTTTTCATAATTTATGAATTTTTTATCAACATATTTTTAATAAACATATTAATAATTTTTTAGACAGAGATCTCTGTTATAACTTAATTTCATATATAAAAGAAGAAATTAGTAAAAAGTCTGATAAAAAATGTATATTTTTTAAAAAATTCAAATTTTATATAAATATTAATAAAAATTCAGTTTCTTACGAATCAATAAAATATTTGTTAAAAAATTGGTAAAAAAAGTATAAGAAAATGTTATTAAAAAAATGTTGATAAAAAATTCATATTTTATAAAAATATTAATTGAATATAAAAATTAATAAAAATTCTGTCAT